GCTATATTCAAATGCCATCTCAATAAGCATCTAGTGTACAGAATCTGGCAAGCAAGTGATAGATATGTGGTACTGTAAAGGAAAGACCAGCAACTGCAATAGCTGGGGAGTGCTCACAGTAATTCAGCAAGTACAGACAGAACCCAGACACCTTCACTGCTCCAGATGAGCTGAGGGACGGTGTAGAAAGCTCCACTCAGTTACTGGGAAAGTTTTATATCTCATTATAACCAGGTATGCTACAGTGCATTAGTAATAGCTAAGTATTTTATTTTAGTTTATGAGAAAGTCAGAATATGCTTATTTAGAATTGCTGGAACAGACTACAGTCCTGTAAAAAATGACTCTGAGAAAGGGAGGAAAAAGCAACAAGGACACTGAAGAAAATAATGCACGTGATAGTCAATGACAGGGAATTCTAGGATATAAAGGGATCAAACTGGACCAATTGGGTCCAGTTTTTTTAAGTCAGAGGGGAGACAGGAAATTCACTCATCATTACACAACAAAGGCAAGCAGTTTTCCCTTGTTTATTGCAGCCTCTGATTTCACCTCAGACATCTACTTTGTGATCATTTGGCTGCTACTTGATCAGGTACCTCCATTACTAGAATGCATTAATATGTCAAATGTACTAATGCATACTTCAGCAGTTGGCAGATACCATAAAAAGGAAATAACTTTGTAGCAAAGTCCAATATTATTGAGTGTGCAAGTTTAAAATAGATGCTTAATTGCATGTTCAAACTCTTAAATAAGTGCCATAATTTTTCTGCAGTGTCGAGAACTTCAAAAGTATTGGACTATTTAGTCACTTAAAAAAATTAAGCCTCTGTTGCCTAGAAGATGAGGCACATCTTGTCTCATGTTGCTGATACAAGTCAGCAGGTATGAAAGCAGGTGCAAGCTTGAATCTGTGAACCCAGTTTTGCTTTCTTAAAGAGCTTAAAAACTGCAGAACTGAATTCGTACTGGCAAACTGTATTTTAAAAGCCTAAGATGTAGCAACTCCTCTCCAGTGACACTGTTACAAATTATGGAGTAAATTATTCTGGAGTTACAAAATCTTGACTGGTTAACTCAGGAACACAGTTTAAAATGTTAATGCATCCCTTTCAAAGGAAAAAGAAGTCTCATTGTGACAGAACTGACAGGGAGCAAAACCCAAGGGTCGTCTAGTTTCATGAAATGATTTTTTTTTTTTAAATACCAAACTATTTGGCATGTTTGCCTGAAGCTTTTCCTATTCTTTATCATAGAGAAGCTTTCTAGGACCATTTCAGCTCTCTGTATGCATAATTACTGTAGGATTCATACAGAGTTGCCACTGGAACAGATGGCAATTATGGTAGAAGGAGACTAGAAGAGTTGTGTATTTGCAGCAAGAGTTCTCTTCTGTATTCAGGCCACCCAAATATGGACAGAATTCAGAACTGAGCAAGTAGAAAGCAAGACATCTTGCCTCTCCTTCCCAAGAAAGGAGATTTATGACTAGAAGAGACCATCTAAAGTTATTGCACATCATTATTTCACTGCTAAATCACAAGTTAGAAGCTACCTCAGTAGCAGCACAAATTGCCTATGAAAGTGTCAACCTCCATCCTTTTCTTCCCTTGGCTATTCCCTGCAGGCTAAAAACCACACAAAACAAAAGAAAAACCAAAACCAACCCAGGGAGTCTCCTGTGGGCAGGCAGAGCAGGAACATTTCTCTTGCCTGGTCCCTAGTGTCTTACCTCATCTTTCACGGTCCTTGGGAAGACCATGTTGGAGCTGCTTTTCACCAGGCACTAAGAAGGCAAGTGAGGATCTGTCTCTAAGGGCAGTCAGACCAGCAGCTCGGCACTGCAGGAGCTCCCCTTACTCGATGTTGATTAGTCAGACACCCCTTGGGCATTCTTCCAAACCTGTCATGACATGGATCACACCCCAGAATGCAAGATCTTATACCGTGAATTAAAACATCGGGGTGGGGGGAAAGGAAGTTATTTAAAGAGAAAAAAAGAAGGGAGAGGGAAGGGACATTCCTCCTCTACTGTTCCTATCAGACACGTCCAGAACAGGCAGTTGTAAGAACAGGCAGTTTTAGTTGTCCTATATTTGAAGGATACAGAATTATTATCTTTTTCTTTCAGCTACGGTTAAATGGAGTAAATGTTTGCACTGCACATAAATAACGTTTTTCAATCGGAGTTTTTGTGCTCTCATATGCGATCTATGAAGTGATATGCAATAATTCCTCCTTCTGCCACCAGAGAGAGCCCAATCATTGCGGGTTTTTTTCTTTTTTCTTTTTTTTCCCCCTCCTCCCCCAGAAAAACGCTTTAGGAGGGAGTACTTGAGCAGGATTCAACTGCCCAGCAGAAACATCTAAGAGGTAACTGGGACACAGTGACAAACCCCTGCAGATTGAAAGGGAACGTTCGAAACAAGCCATATAGATACAGAAGCCTTTCACAAAGGTTGTGCTAAGTTAGATTGCCTGCACAAAGCAACTTTGACAGGTGCACTTCCATACTGGCTACAACAGCAACATCAGATGTAGGTTTACCCACAAACCACTGGAAAAAAGGATAATTTATTACTTAAAAAACATAACAAGCCACTAACTAAAACGAAATCAAAGCGACCCACACAAAACCAATCAAAACCAAAACCTCAAACCCACAAAACTCCTTGCTAATATTTAGAAAATACTATTTTAATGTCCATGGAGGAAAAATGCCTGAGAAAAAATAAGGTGAAGGCTTACAAGTACTGGATAAATCCATCAATTATCAATCCAGGCTAAAATATAAAACTCTTGTTTGTGCTGTATTAAGAGAAAAGGTGGTAAACATGTTTTAAAACTTAGCTTTTAAAACTAGAAGGAGCCAAACTTAAAGATACAAAGACAAGGAATACTTTACCTTAGCCTAATGCTTCTTTTTCCCAGTCTCAAACACTTTTTCAACACAAAACATTACAATGAGTTGACACCAGCCTATCACTGCCATCCCCCTCTTCAGTACCGACAACACTGTACACCACTTTTCCTCCATAAGCATTTGGTGTCATCAGCAGTTGGAAGCATTTATTTTGCTAAAAGCTCCTTAGTGAAAGAAAGGTTTGTGATTCACCCTGGAGTCTCACAGAAGAGAATGAGCCCTACATACATGCAGAAAATACTCCTTTAATTTCCTGCATGCTTTGTGCACCAAAAATAAGAAAAGGCTAGTGTACTTGATGAGATTTTTCAGGGCTTGCCTTCCTTGCAAAACTTAAAAATCCACTGTGCTCACAGAAACATGCCAATGATCATAATGGACATATCAATTAAGTATTTTATCATTTATACAGTACAACTCTTAGTATCAAGCTGAGTAGCAGCTACAGATCAAGTCGTTCCTACCTTTGAAAACATTTATATTTGTAATAAAACTGTGCAAAATTCAGTCTCTTCTACTGTCACACCGTTTCTAAAAATCGTCCAAATACCTTTTAAATTACATTCAAGCAATAAGTTTCAGTGTTGAATCTTCCCACAAGTCTTCAAAACTTGCCCATGCTGTTGGCTCTCTGGCAGTGCCAGCAAGCACCCCGCACTACAGACCAAATGGGAGGCCTGGAAATACTGGCAGTACTAACCACCACTTGAGAGAACTCCCTGCAGACTTGTTTTTCAAGATAGATTTCCTAAGAGAGAAAACTACTGGAAGCAGCAGCATGTGCCAAAATATGCTCCAGAAGCATGTCTTCACTAAAGACTGAACCCTCTTACTCAAGACTTCAGACCAAACCCTATTACAAGCCACACAGAAAAGCCTCCTGACCCAGGCTTGACATGGGTCAAGGCCCACTGGCAGACATTTCATTCAATAGGGAGCACACCCACCTATTCTGGAGTGAGAACTCAGACCAAGCCCTTCAACTGCTGACTCCAGTGCCTTTCCCATAGCTCCGTGGAGCAGGGAAGTCCTCCCATGCCTATCCCACTTCCCCAGGGCAGAGTCCAAGAGTGCCTTCACCTAAGAAAAACAGAGATCAGTATGCTAGGTTGGACTTTATTATCTTA